TGTGGGCAGTGAGGCCGGTGGGCAGTGAGGGCGGGTGGGCAGTGAGGCTGGTGGGCAGTGAGGGCAGGTGGGCAGTGAGGGCCAGTGGGCAGTGAGGGCCGGGAGGAACCAGGAGGAACCAGGAGGGGCTGCCCAGAGGTGAGCAGGGAGAAGCCACTCGGCAAGACCAGGCTGAGCTGGAGCCGGTGAGCACAGAGCACCACCACCAGCCTCTCAGCAGCGTGTACAGGGAGAGGCTGAGGCTCAGTGCCTGCCTCAGAGCAGGGTTTCCAAATCGAGGATCATGACCTTCCCGTGGGTGATGAAATCGATCAGCAGGTCAAGATAAGCATTTAAAAAACATAGTAAGAATGAAAAAAAACAACAACACAAAAACCAGAGTACATCAGCCCTGGTAACAGCGTGTTCTGGGGATTAAATTATGAAATGTATTCCTTATGCACGTGGTGAAGAAACTTCTAGGGAGTCCTCGCTGTTCCTGGAATGGTTCTGTCCGGGGGCATAAGAGATCTGGCTGGACGGTTTGGGGTGAGGGAGGGGACAGTCATGGGGCGGTCTGGGGACACTCACCCTCACAGCGGCGCTTGTCAGGGGCCAGCTCGTACCCAGGGTCACAGCTGCACTTGTAGCTGCCCAGGGTGTTGAGGCACCGCTGCTCACAGCCCCCACGGTTGGGCCGAGAGCACTCGTCCACTTCTGCGGGTAGGAAGGAACGGGTATCAGTGACTCCCAGGCAAGAAGAGTCCCTCCTCCTCCTCCTGCTTGAGAGTCACGTCCAGGGCCCTCAGGCTTCCTGTGATGGCCCCCAGCCCCATTCTACAGTGGGCAGTCGGTCGTGAGCCACTCAGCTGGGAGGCCGTGGCCTCCAGGCCGCACCCAGCTCTCCATGGCTGCTCAGGACCCACTCAGTCCCCAGGGGGTACTTCTCATGAGAGCCCCAAAGGGACAGGCAGTACCCTGAAGCAGGGGCAGGAGGACCTCTCACAGTCTTTTCTCTGACCACACCGTTTACCGGGGCCTCAGGCAGAACACCCTGTCCGAGGTCGCATGGATGCCTCCTCCACGCTGCCCTGCTTCCTCCCTGAGCCCCTCGGTGCTTCCTGCCTCGCGGCCTCCTCTGCTCTCTGTACAAACTTCTGGGTGTTCAGGCAACGCCTGAATTGTCATTTCAATTCATAGTGGAGCACCTGCCACGGGTCAGCTACTTGTACTTGCTCTGTCATTTACTCAAGGAGGTATGCAGTTTTTCCGAGGGGTTGAGCTTTTCTCCCCATTTAGGCCATACATTCCAGGGCAGGGCGCTAGGTCTGTGTGTCCCTCACAGTCTTTGTGTTGAATGAGTGAATGAAGAAGGAATGAAGTCATCACAGCACTGTCTACAACAGCCAAGATGTGGATGGACGCAGACTAAAGGTCCATCAGCAATTGTGCCTGGGGTCAGCCATACTGTATTGTACACTTAAAAATGTTCAGGGGGGTAGTTCACATGCTAAGAGTTCTTATCAAATAAAATAAAATTTAAAAAAAAATAAAAGAAGGAATGGAGAAGATGGATTGGCTGTGGAAGTGGGAGGGGGGAGGGACCGGGGAAGGCGGCACCTTTGAAAAAGTTGACAGCAAAACCGGCTTTGTTAATGGACCCGTCAGAGACGAACTTGAGCCAGAGGCGGCTGGAGGTGCTCTTGATGTCATCAGGCTTCTCGTAGCCACAGTAGCGCCCGATGAGGGTGCTGCTCTCACTGTGCCCGTCTCGCACCTCCAGGTAGTCATAGGCGCAGCTGTCGTGGCGCTCAATCTGGGGGTCAGGGGCTCAATCAGCGGAGGAGCGCTGGTGGCCAGCACCCAACACCCGGAACCCGTGGAGAGGTGGGCGGTCCTGGGGGCACCTGGGGCGTGAGAGGATCACAGGGTCTCTGACCCACCTCGAAGGACTGGAAGGTGAGGCCCACGTGGAAGCCCTCGGACACCTGGATCCGCCAGATGCAGACTTTGCTGGGCCGGTAATCATCTGGGTAATTGGGCGACTGGATGTGGCCATTGTCCTTTTTCACATCTCCCCCACAGATGGCTTTGGGGACACAGTGTTAGGTGGGAAAAAAGGGAGGTCAGTGAGAATGCTCTGCCTTGCTTAGGAGTCCTTCTCCCCCCTCCTCCAGCCCTTCCCACATCCCCCCAGCTTCCCAGGGCCCTCCTTCCCATCCCAGCCAATCCCATGGGATCTCTTCTGGTGCCAGGAGGGGGTGGTTCTAGGATGCCAGGGACCCCATATACCTGACCACCCCCACCCCACTTTCACCCTCAGTACCTTCATAGACTGCAAAGAAGCCCTTCCCGACCCAGTTGCTACTGCTTCGGAATTCAACCCAGAGGCGGCTGTCCGTGGAGACGATAGGCTCAGGGAGTTTGCCCCCGCAGAAGCGGCCTGTGAAGATGGTGTGGGCAGAGGGGCAGTGAGGCCCAAACTGAGTCCCCCTCTCCTTCTCAATCCAGCCTGTCCCTCCGGAAGCCCCACCTCTCTGAGGGACGCAGGGGCTTGGGCTCCGGTCTGCACTGGGAACACATTCCCAAGACCGCACACCCTCCAGGGGGCCTGTGCCTGGTCCAAGGGCCAGCTTGGCCTTGACGAGCCAGAGAGAGACCTTCTAGAGCAGCGGTCGCCAACCTTTTGGACCTCACGGACCACCAGTGGTCCACAGACCACCGGCTGGTGACCGCTGTTCTAGAGGATTTCACGCACTTGATTGAGGGATAAGACAGGAGTCTTTCTGGAAGGAAAGGTGATTCCGCACAATAACCAACTGAACATGTGTTTTATTTACGTTTTTTTCTTTTGTTTCTTTTTTTCTTATTCTGCCTCCTCTTCCCCCCCAGTATTTACGTTTTCTAAAGAGCATATTACCTTTGTTACTTATTTTTTCTTATTTGATCTCCATGTAAACAATAACCGAGAACCAAAACAGTTTTCCTTGTACGTTATAAAATGTGTCATTTGATTCAAAGCAGGCATTGCCACAGGACCCCAGATAAATCCCAGAATCCAGAGACTGGTTCAGAAAATGCTTCCTTTGAAATAAAACCCAACAAGAACCCGCCCCCCCCAGGCGGATGAGGCTGCCCATCTGTGGGGTTCTTCACAGGCAAGGATCAACCAGGGATCTTCCTGGTAAGTGGGTGTTTCCCAGCTTTCAGCAAGGGACAGAGGGCGTTGAACTAGGAATGTAAGTTATGAAAATAAACGGCAGTCTTGGCAACGCTCACATGTCTGCAGGACAATGTGTCGTAATAACAGCTGCTTTAGGTAACGAATAAGAAGTTTCAAACGCCAGAGACTCGGGGGAAGATATGGTAAGCAAGGATTTGTCAGCCTGTGGAGACACGGGCTGTGGGACAAAGGTCCCGACGCTAACAACTGGTCCCGAGCGGCCTGGGGGCCCGCCCACACTGGAGAACAAATCTCACAGCTCCTCAGGCTGGGCGCCAATACCATCTCATTATGCCTCTCTTCAGCCTAACTCCTTATTTATTTATTTATTTATTTATTTATTTATTTTGGTTAATCCTCATCCAAGGATATTTTTTCCATTGATTTCTAGAGAGAGGGGAAGGGAAGGGGAGAGACAGAGAGAGGAACATCGATGTGAGAGAGACACATCGATTGGTTGCTTCCCACATGTGCCCTGACTGGGGATTGAGTCTGCAACCGAAGTACGCGCCCTTGACCAGGATCGAACCTAAACCCTTCAGGCCGAGGGCTGATGCTCTACCCACTGAGCCGAACCGGCTAGGGTTGACCTAACTCTATGTCTATTAAAGCACCTTCTGTTCTGGGGTCTGACCCACTCATTTCCTACTTACTCATCCCCCCTCAAGGAAAAAAGCACCCTCTGCAAATGAGTGTGGGCCTCTGCCATGTGGGGTGGCCCGCGTGGTGGACCAGGCAGCACCGTGGGCACCCTCAGGCCGGACCTTGCAGACAGAGAAAACAAAGCCTCTGAAATTGCCCAGGTGAGGAAGGGAACCTGGGACTTGGGATGTGCAGAATAGTGTGTCCATTTCTCAGATGCCTCCCTGATCCTTACATTGACGGCCACCAGGAGGGGGGCCCGGAAGCCTGTACCAAGGACTGTGAGGTCCAGACTGGGAAAGGGACTTGCCGGAAGTCCCCCAGCTAGTTAGTGATGCTGCCAGCGGGCCGGGTTCCCACGCAGGGTGTCGCCCTCAGCCAGGCTTGGGTCCCAGGGGAGGATGAGGTAGTTCTAAGGAGCAATCAGCGGACGAGGAGGCCGGGGTGGACTATGCGTTACCTCGGAGGGGCGCCTTCCTCCAAAAGCCATCTCGGACCTCCACGTAGTCGTACCAGCACAGGCGGCTACGGTACAGGTCCATGGATGTGAAGTTCAGAATGATCTAGAGGAGAAGGGAGGAGGGAGAGGGTTATGTGGCTCCTCACACCTCATGGGCCTCGCCGTCCAGCCCCATGACCGCTGTCCCGCTTTTGTGAGGCGGTTTGCTCTGGGTAATAAATAGTTAAAGGTTCCAAAAAGGAGTTCCTGGCACAGAAATATCATCTCTCCCCAGCCGTAGGCCTGTGTCAGTCAGCATCCTTCCAGGTACCACAGGCCAGTCCTCACTTAAAATGCATGGCCTGGTGAGCATGTGTATGAGACCAGCAGGCTCAGCTTACTGATTCCCTTAGGGAGGAGCCGTTGTTGGGGTGACACCCAGCTCTCCCTGTGGTCAGCTTAACTCATATAAATCACAGCACCTTTAGAGGGAAGAGGTCTCCTCAGTGAGAGGAAGGCCCAGGCGGCAGGTGGTAGTGGGTGTCTGAAATGGGAAGGAAGGTTCTAGAGAGAAGAGGCACAGGGAGGACCGGCAGGCCCCCATCATCACATAGTATTCAACACTGGTTCTGGGCAGAGGGTCATGCTAACTGCAGAGGGTTCCCTTCCAGATCTGAATCCTTCCCAGAGTGAGTTTAAGAAGCGTCCCTGTCAAGATGCTTAGGACTTAGAAGGATAAAACACATAGGCATGGAAAGATCACTTGGTGACAAAACTCAGACCCCAGTCACACAACCTGGGTTCGAATCTCCCTCAGGATTTCCTGCTGTGAGTCCTGGGGTCAGTCGCCCAACCTCTCTGAACTGCAGCTACCTCGTGTGTAAAATGAAGAACATCTCACCCTGATGCAGTACCTCACAGGTCCAGGCCCTGACAAGTGTCTCCCACTCATGAACTCATTTCAGCCTCTGAACTCATCACATGTTCACCTAATACTGGAGGAACGTCTGACACCTTGCTAAGTACCAACTCTCCCAGCAGGAGGGCACATTCGTCCCTAGAGAAGCACACTTTTCAGGAGGGAAACGGCCTCCTTGGTAGTTTCCAGAATGAGCCCTAAAGCCTGTTGTGTATTCTCTGTCCAACAAGCAGAGACTCCCGGGAACAGCTCACCGTGACTGTGAGGCGTATGCAGTGGGCGCACGATGGCCCGAGAGGCCCACCTGCTAGGTGCCAGCTGGGTCCCCTGCTGGAGGAGAAGGGGACCAGGAGGTCTGTCTCCCTCCTGGATCACTGCAGAGTTTCAGGCAGACGGAAAAAGGCCAGAATGAAAAAGATCCCAAAGCAGGTGCTGGGACTGCTGTCCGCAGCCAGCGTCCAGCTGTGACCTGTGGCCGGTCAAGGAAGGGCTTCTGGCTCACGGTCACTCTAACACTGACCCCGTCAGAATTCTTGGTGATTTCAGTATCCACGCAGATCAGTGATTTTCAACCCGTGTGCTGCAAGAATTTTTAAAACATGCAATAACTGACTATTTACAGTCAGGGACACTGACCTCTATTCCTAGATTGTCAAATAAAAAAATAGCAACAGCCAACACAACAATAGCAGTACGGTGTGAATGAATCAAAATTATACTTATAAAAAATTATATTTTGGCAGATTGGCAAAAAAATACGTTTTTGGTGTGCCCAAGTTCAGGAATTAGCGTATGTGTGCCATGAGATAGAATTGGTTGAAAATCGCTGACCTATATGATCCTTCCCCTGTCCTGGCCTCTCTGCTTTGTGACCTCCTCTCTCTCCCTCTCTGTCTCTTCTCAGCTATACAGAGCACAGATCCTAGATCTTATCATCCATAATCTCAAGTTCAAGGACTCCACTCTCCATCCACATGCCCGTCTTTCCTGGCTCACTCCCTCTGTACACTGAGTCCAGTCATCCTTCCAGTTGACCGCGATCTTCAATCCACTGAGCCTGCGGTGTTTGACTTACACCTCTAGGTGCTCACATCCCTCCTTCCCTAGATAGTCCATCTTTCTTCTTTTCCTTCGATTTATGAGTTTAAGTATGTTTGTGCTTGGGAACCTGATGTTATTGAGTGAATCCTGTTTTATAAAGTGCACTGATTATTCTTGATAATTCTTAATCATCACTGAGAGTCTTACTATAAAAATGTAAGTCCTAGGATACAGAAAAACTGAAGTTGAAAGTCCATTCTAGCTATGGAGCCAGTGTCTCATTACCCAATATTTTATCTTTTTAGAAAATGAGCAAATAAGATCACAGAGGAAGTTTCATTTGCTACGCAATCCTCGGGCGTAGCATGTAGTAGTTAATACATATTTCTTGAGTAGCATTTTGCTTTTAGGAATCTGTTCTACAGATATACTTGTCCCAGTGTATAATGATATGTTTCAAGATATTTATGGTAGCATTTGTGAAAACTTGGAAAAACCTAAATTAATATCCATCACTAGAGACCCGCAGGGGATGATTAAATAATTAAGTTAAGGGACACGGAGATGGTGGCATGCTGAGCAGCCAGGAAAATGACTGAGGTAGACCTCTGTGTGCTGACATGGAATAATGACCATGATTTACTGTTGAGTGAAGGGCAACTTACAGAAGACCATACACACATACACGTGTATCTAGAAGGTTCTGGAAGAACATCCCCAGTGTTACCAATGCTTAGTCACCTCTGAGGAGTGGGATTTGGAGAAGGATCAAAGGGAGAATATTCAGTTTTCATCCTGTTTCTATATTGCTAAACATTTTACAACATGCATATGTTATATCTAACAAACAACAAGAATCTCTTTTAAAGAGTTGCTGGATGGAAGAAGAAATGCAGAGGGCCGAGTGGGGGCACTCGGGCCTCTAAACTCACACCCCTAACCAGCACTCCGTGTGCCTCTCTGGGCCTGCCAATCAATTTCGCTCAGCAGCTGCACTAAGAACAGCAGCAACTGTCCCCTCCCCCTCAGAAACAATCCTGGCTCTGTCCAGGGTAGATCAGCTCAGACCCTCTGAAGAAGAAACCACACATGCCCAGTCGGGGGAACCCAGAGGGCCCACCCAAGACCTCCGACGTGGCAGAGGGACCAGAGGTTGCCCCACACAGGAGGCCGAGACCTGTGCTGGCGGTTGGGGGCATCCTATGGGGAGGTGCAGCCTTGGCTATATTGAGACCGGAGGTGTCTAATTAAATGTTGTAACAACTTGTCATGTGGAAACAGCTGTGCTCTAGTGGCAGGGACACTGCCCGCTGCCAAAGAAAACCTGGCCGGCTCCACCACTTCCTGGCGAGTGACTCTGGGCCCGTGGCCCGACTTCTTTGTGCCTCAGTGTCTTTGTCTGAAAAACGGAGGTGACCCTAATGGCTCCACTGGGGAGCTGGGAGCTGGGAGATTAAATGGGAGACGGGGTGCGGAGTCTCTGGGTGCACCCCAAGTGTGGGAAGTACTCCTCACGTTTGTTGGATGCTCTCAAGGAGGAATTGGGAGAACACGTCGGCCCTCAGGAACACACAGTCTGGCTTCAGTATGGCCTCGACATACAATCTTAGGCCCATCGTTTAACTCCTCTGTGCCTCCATGTCCTTATTTGTAGGATGGTAATGGCAATAGTACCTCCTCATAGGACTAAGGGACAATATAGGTGATTAATCGAGATCAATTAAATCAATATAGGTAAAGTCTCCAACAGTGTCTGACACATATATGTGTCATACATACAACCAATATATATATATGTTGCATATACATACAACTGTGTATGCCACTCCATAAATGTTAATTTCACTACTGGAGTGGAGTTTGCTTGAGATACTTTGATATCTGAAATCCTGGACGTAAGTCCAGAATCCTGGAAGTAAGAGGGAGGCAAAGGGGCCCTGGGGAAGTTGGCCAGGGCTCGCTCATTTAACAGATAAAGAACCGAGAATGGTAACAGCATGATGCTGACTGCACTCCTACTACGAGCGAGGCAGAGCTCTAAGCGCTTTACGTACATAGCCTCGTTTAATCCTCATATCAACCCCAGGAGGGAGGGACTATCACCAGGCCCATTTTACAAATGGGGAAACAAAGACACAGAGTTTAAGCAACTTTCCCAGTAAGAGCACAACTGGGAGTCACACTCAGGTGCTCTGTCCCTTTTTTTTTTTTTAAATCCTCACCCAAGGATGTGTTTATTGATTTGAGAGAGAGAAATATTGATGTGAGAGAGAAACATCAATCGGTTGCCTCCCATACACGCCCCAACCGAGGATCAAACCTAAAACCTTTTGGTGTACATACAGGACGATGCTCCAACCAGCTGAGCCACCCGGTCAGGGCTCAGGTACTCTGTCTCTGAAACTTACACCCTTAACCACTACTCCATGTGGCCTCCTCAGGCCTGCCAATCTATTCTGCCCAAAAGCTGTGCAAAAAAAACCAAGCATCAACGTTCCCTCCATCCTCAGTGCCCCAGACCCTTCAGTGCCTGAGAAGCAGGACTTAGAGGAGGGCCCAGCACAGGGAAGGGTCATCTGCCCATTAGAGGACAGAAGGTAGAGTCAGGGAAGGCTTTGCAGAGGAGGGAGAATTTGGTTTGGACCTTGAAGAACAGGCAGGATATGAGAAGGCAGGGATGGGAATGGGGGTGGTAAGTCCAAGAGGCCTCTTAAGTGTTTATCTTCTTGGCTCCTCTGCAGCATGTGACCATGATCTCCTGAAATCACTTTCCTGCTCCTACAGGCTGGCTTTGTTGCTTGGAAAACACTGTAAATCCTCTCGAGGGCAGCTGCTAACTACGTGCAGTGCAGAGACGTGGGGACCCTCAAAGAAACTTTCCCAAGTGGCTCTTTCTGTTTGACGTCCCCCTACGAGTACAGTTGTATAGGATAAGCTCACACTTCTGGCCATAAGCGGAGAACTGGGAAGACAGTGGAAAACAACCTCTCGGCAGCCAAAGAGATGTCAAAGTCCATCGGCTAACACAGGTGGGTTTATTTAAGGTTTGCTGTTGAAAGAGTGTAGACTTTGGAGTCAGACAGTCCTGGAATCGAGCGCTGGTTCCACCACGACTACTGTGTAAACTTGGGCAGATTTACTCACGCCCTTTGAGCCCTGGCTCCCTCATCTGTCCAGTAGGGATATTGGACCCACATCCCAAAACCGTTGTGAGGAGTAATGAAATCTCTCATGTAATATGCCTGGCACATAATTGTTAACAAAGAGCAGCTGTTATTATTGTATGATGTCATCTTCTTCCAGCTCCCCAACCTCTGTGAGCCCTTTAAATGCTCTATCCCCAGGGTTCATCTTTTTTTTAAATAATATATTGATTTCAGAGAGGAAAGGAGAGGAAGAGAGAGATAGAAATATCAATGATAAGAGAATCATTGATCAGCTGCTTCCTGCACGCCCTCTACTGGGGATTGAGTCCAAAACTTGGGCATGCGCCCTTGACCGGAATCGAACCTGGGACCTTTCAGTCCGCAGGCCAACACTCTATCCACTGAGCCAAACTGGCTAGGGCCCCAGGGTTCATCTTTGATTCTCTTACAACTCTAACAATTCATCCAGGGCCGTGGGTGGGTTTTATTTTTTGAATTTCTACAACCATGCATTGATTAACCTGAAATTTCTATCTATAGACCACATCTCTCCCTGGACCTTCTGGCAGGCCTCCAAAATAAGATGGGAAGTTTTCTGGGAATTATGGAGGGAGCAGGCTGGAGGCAAAGAGGCTCCTAGGGCAAGGCCATGAACCCACTAGAGACCAGGGCCAGCCCATGCCAGCCTGGAGCTACAGGGTTAGAAGCAGATGCTAACCAAGCTACCAAACCCCTGCTGGCCCAGCAAAGCTCCTGAACAGGAAAGAAAGCAACGCTCAGTTTATGCTCCTTGGGGCTGTCTCATGCCCCTTTTCATCCATAATGATCATATGCTCAATAATCATTAAGTATTATTATTATTCTCTGCGGTGAGATTTCCAAAGGCTGAAATAGTGAAGACCCTCAGCAGAGGACTGGGCAGGGCATGGTCAGTACAAAACAGCAAAAAGGACTGCAATTTTTGAGTTAGATTCAGAAAAAGAAGAAGAACAAGGAAGGGGTGGGTTCACTTTCGAGAGAAGATGGTAGAACGTTAACCAAGAGAGATGACGGAATTACTCAACCCTCAGTAGAAGTCTATTGTTAACAAAATAATCTTCAAATTATGAAAATAAAATAAGCATAGTTTGGAAAGGAAATGGAAGCTCAGTAACAAAGAAGGAGAGTCAGTGAGCAAAGTTAACTCTTGTTTCTAGGCTCAAAAATGACATCAGAGGACAGTCAAATAACTTGCAGATGTGATCAGCGTCTGTAATCTTGAGAACTCGGAAGGAAAGCTTTCCCAACTTCAGAAGGGGGGTATGTGATGTGTGCTTGTGTGCTGGGAACAGGGGTTGGGAGTGAATTCTGGGAATTGCAAACCACTGAGCTGAATGTCAATCCCAATTAAATGGATGGTCTGTGACCATTTAGAAAAGAAACACTTGATTACCAGGAGCCAATTCGCTTGAAACAAGGCATGTCACAAATTTCACTTCCATTTTTAAAAGGGGTTTTACTGACAAGGGGATCAGTGGACTTGTTTGGTAAGGCAACCCATCCACATAGTAAGGATTTATTAACCACTTCCTGTGACAGGGATATACATATGAAGAAGGTGTGGTTTCAGAAGAAGCTCACATCCCGGTGAACTAGGGGGTGACCTGTGGCTGGATGGCAATGACATTAAATGGGGTCATAGCAGGTAAAATAACTCTGCCCAGAGCCTGCCCATTAACGAGTCAAGCAAGGTCAGTTCAGAGGGAGATCTTAACTCTGCTTTGATTCATGTCCTCTTCAATAATTTGATCAAAGACCAGGTTCTGAAGACCCAGAAGGCCATGCATATCAGAATAAAAGGGATGGCCACCTGCTAGAGGGTGCAGTTTTGATTCAAAATGATCTTGAGTCAAACAATGTCACCATGTTCCAACCCAGGAAAATAAAGTCTTAGAACTGACTCTTGGGAGCAATAAAAATACAAAGGAAATGAAGCTCCTGAGTTCGGTGAGAAGTCTATACTCCATGTGAAAAGCCCGTGAATGGATCTCAGAAACACTAGAAAAGTGTCTGGCACACAGTAGGTGCTATCTGGGAGCTAGCCTTCGTTTATAGGCACTGGCGGAAGCCCCCCCTCACTGTAGTGCTGCGTCATTCTTGTGGGGCGGATGGGTTTATGATCCCCATGCAGGTCTCTCCCAGCCACACTGACTATGGGCTCCCACTCTGCGGTCCTGGCAGAAGAGGGGGTGCTCATTACCTTCTCCCCAGGTGTGACGGAGATGCGCCATACACAGTGCATGTGGGCGGAGTAGCCATTGGGGTACTCAGGAGAGGAGAAGTTGCCTGTGCTGTCTTGTAGGGTCTCTCCACAGGCTGTCAAGGGAAGGAAATAACTGAGTGGCTGGCTGCAGGGGCCCAATCCCCCTGAGCTTCTGGCCTCCCCACCCTGAGCCCTGGCATCTTTGCAGGAGAGGAAAATAGCTCAAGAGTGGGAGTCTGGGATGGTCCTGTCCCTTTAAGACCCAGCCCTTTCTCCTCACAGATAAGCTCACACCATCCTACCTCCCCGCCTAGTGCTGCAGGATGTCCTGTTGTCAAGGCAACTAGGTTCCAGAGTTAAGGTCAGGCTCCTTTGGTGAGCCTCACTCGTCCTCACTCCCTGAGAATTGCTCTGCTCTCTCCATTTTCTGCTCCTGGTGCCCTTCCCCCCACCCCCGCCCGCACCAGATCCTCAGAAGGTGGGTGGCTCAGTGTTTCACCATCACCTGATCCTAGCGCCAGTTTGGTCCATAACTTGAATACTACCCCTCCCTGGGGGCCCTTCCACCAAGCAGTCTCAGTGTTCTCTAAGGCTCTCAGCTTTAACTTCCTTGGTTCCAGGTCCTGGTCTCTGCCTGCCTGGGGCCCTGCCCTCCGCTCCTCTCCGGCTCATCCCTCCCTGCCCCGACCTGGACACTTGTAGAGCTTGCGGGCCTGGGCGATGTCCCCCTTGCTGAGCCGGGTCCTTTGGCCGATGGGAGGTTTCACCCCATTCACCTCGTACTTGGGAACAATGGTGTCCAGGAAGATGCCCCTGAGGAGGACAAGCCCGACCTGGGTGAGCATCTGATGGAAGGAGGGGTGGCATGTCTGTGTGCACCCAAGGTCATGACCCTGCCAGAGCCCAGACATTCCTCAGCAGGGTCAGGGACGGGTGGAGACATCTCACCCTGTCATTATGCTGCCCACTGACCAGCAGCCACCCTGCTCCGTGGCAGCCACACCACAGGAGCCTGGGGGAGCCCCAGGAACACTTTGGGAGGTCAGGACACAGGCCCAGGGTGCCCTGGGGACCCACTGGTGCCAAGCTCAGTCTGGCCCTGACTCCAAGCACCAGGAGACCTGTGGATGTGCCTCAGCCCCTGCTTCTGCAGCCCCTGGGCCGATTCAGCCCTGGCTGCACTTCTCCCAGGATGACCCAGTGCCAACGCTTTACCCTGTTGGCACAGCTGCTCTGACAGCACCTGGGACAAGGCCAAAGGGCAGGTTCCACCGCGGCCAGAACAGACCCTGGGGACAGCCCCACCATCAGTCCTCCTGTCCTCCTAGTTCCTGCCTTCAAAAGCCTGGGTGTTTCCATCTGGGAGGAGGGGAAGCAGGCAGCCCTTCACCTCCCCAGGGCCCCTGACTCACACCAGCTGGGTGGGACTCAGCAGGAGGTGGAGAGGGATGTGGTGAGAAATGTATGGGGGGCGGGGGGCTGTGGGCGTGGGGGACAGGATGACCTCACCACCCTTCCTCGGTCTCTGTCCCTCAGGTCTGGAGGCAGGAAGAGTGGGTCAGAAGGAGAGCTGAGGACAGGGGGAGGGCTGCTGTCTGGGACAGAGCCGGAGGGGGGGCAGATAGAGGATGAGGAAAGCCAGGCCTGGGAAAGGCCAGGCAGGAAGGAGTGTGAGGAGGATGAGGGTCGGTTCCCACACTAGGCTAATGAGAAGCTGGGTGGGGATGACTGGCCCATTACCTCCGGGTTCTAGCAGTGACTTTGGGAACCTGGGCCCGGGATAGGAGTAGGTGTATATGTGCTTGTCAGGTGGTGAGGGGGCTGGTCCAGGGCAGGAGCTGGCCTTCGCACAAGTTAGCCAATTACAAAAAAGGCAGCCAGATCAGAAAAATATGCCCCGCTCTGGTCTTCAGCAGAGGGGTAACCCAGCTCCTTTGGGCGGACACAGTTCTGGGCCACAGCGCACCACCGCCGGCAGAGTAGCTGGATTTCAGCCCCATGGGCCAGGTGTCCTCGGTGTGCACAGCTCTAGGTGAAGCACCCAGGCTGTGTGAGTCCCGGCCCTGCCATGGGCCCAGGGTAGAAGAGGACAGCAGGCCAGGCAGCACCCACGGGTCCTCTGCTTGGGGGCTGCAGCTGCCCAGGGCCCACTCTTGTCCTTGCTGACAACCCCAGCAGGGCAGCCTGGTGCAAAGTGGAGGCCCCAGAGGGCAGGAGAGTCTCTCACCTGGAGAATGTGTTGCGGGCATAGTGCATGATACTGTCAAAATCGTAGGTCTCCCCCAGGGACTCTACCTCTTGGACCTCCATCTTCAGGAAGTTATACTCCTGCCCTGAGAAAACCACGAAAAGGGGGTGGGGGTGGGAGGAGGTAGATCTGTGTGGGACACAGGGTGGAAAATGGGGTCCTCCCTGTACTTGCGAGGTGCCCCCCTACCTGAGGGTCCTGGGAGCAGCCAAGGAAAGCCTGGGGGGAGGGGCAGTCTCTAGAAGAGTGTCCCGCAGAGGGGCGGGGTGAAGGAGGACTTGCTGCAGGGAAGGCTCAAGGGAGTATGGGAAGGAAGCACCCATTTCTAGAACCACAGCAAGATGAAAGCAGTGAAGAGCGGAGGAGGCTGGGAGAGAGGGCGGAAACAGGAAGGGAGGGAAGAGAGCATAGCTAGGAGAAGGGAGAGGGAAAAAAACCCTTGGAGGGCAGAAGAGGCAACAGCAGAAGACTGGGCAAAAGTGAAGCGAAAGACTCAGACAGCACGGGAGTGGGCTGACCCCTCCCCAAACCCCACCCTGAGGGCCAGCTGGGTTCTGGCTGCTGCGGATGGTTCCTGTGTCCAGGATCTGGACCTGCGGTGGGGGTGGGGGTGCCCAAAGTGGCTCCACAACTGATCTGTGGTCCCTGAGCTGCTACTGGCTGGAGCAGATGCCTCAGGGGCGGGGTCTGGGCCAACCTGGGCCCTAGGCTGGGCTGGGACTACAGGCTGAGTTGATCAAAGGTGATGACTAGAGGGAGCAGCTGCCACCCCCAGCAGGGGCCCTGGAGAGGGGGCATGGGCAGGAGCCACGGCGTCCCGCCCCCTACCCCACCCCCCAGGTCGAAGTGCATACCTGGCTGGATGTTCTCACGCACGATGGAGACGTGGCGGTCCCGGTCGGGCCGCGTGTGCTCGTGCCAGAAGCCGATGACGTGGCCCAGCTCATGCACCACGATTCCAAACTTGTCACAGTTCTTGCCGATGGAGATGGCCTGCGGGCCCCCACCACGGCGACCCACGTAGGAGCAGCACCTGGAGGGCGGGGCCAGCTCAGGGGGGCGGTCCCGAGCTGGGGGAGTGCATCCACTCAGGGGCCCGGCTAGGCTGCCAGCGGGGCGGGAGTTGAGGGGCAAGGGAGGGGCTGGCAGGTACGCTCGGGATGTGTGCTGGCGTCACAGCCACATCCTGGGGAGCATTCCTGGGGAGATGCCTCAAGGCAGGAGGGAACGTTGACACAGATCTGTGCGCAGGTGGGGCAGCTGCAGGGCCCAGGGCAGAACAGGGGTTGGGGCATGGCCGAGGGTACACTGCCCAGGGGCCCCTGCTCACCCGCAGGGTCGATAGGTGAATACAATGTAGCTGTCCTCATCGGTGCGCTCCAGGAAGGTAACACAGGTGTGCTTCTCCCAGTGCCGCATGGCCTGCCGGAAGACTGCCCTCTGGCTGCCTGCGGGACAGAGGCGGCCAGGCTGTCACACTGTCAGGTGGGCCTGCCTCCACCCACTGCGCAAGAGTTCCCGCCTGATGGGCAGAGGCCACCGCCATGCAGCCGGACTGCTCACCAGTGAAGTTTCCCCCAATGACAAAGGGGATGACCCCATCAGGCCACACGCGCTCGGGTCTGGACGTCGCCGCCCGCCGGCTCCGGGACCTGCTTCTCCACCTCCCCGGGCTTCTCCTCCGAGGCTGCCCGTTAGCCTGCTGGCAGCTGGGGGTAGAGGTGTTTCCTGGAATTGAAATAATAAGACATTGGTAGCAAGTGAGTGAAGGGGGAGAGGGGGAAAGAAATTACAATCATTCTTCATTTGGGGGGGATTCCAGATTTACCCATCCACTACCATTTATTTGTAGCCCCCAAATCAGTACCCTTTAACTCTTTCTTTTTTGTAAGAGTTGAGACGATTTGAAATTTAACTTAAAACCAAGTTTAATTGTAGAGAGTTACCCACCATTTAGGCCACATCTAAATTTACTTTAATAAGTAATACTTTATACTTATTTCCTAGATTGAGGTTCAGTGTTTTCATTTTATTTGCCATGTCTAGGGTTAAACATTTATTACATTCCCCTCCCTTTTTTTAAAGTTACTCAGTTTTCAAAATATGTAACTGAGAGTCTACTAAAAGCAAAGCACTGTATTAGATTATTAGGGTGATTCAAATATGACCAAGATTTTGATCTTGTCATTAGGGAGTGTGTAATAAATACACTGGTTGGTAGGAGAAATGAGACAGGTACTCAGGTAATTCCAGAACAAGTTAGAAGATGTAAAAACCAGTCTCAACGTGGCTTCTTCTGTGTACCCGTGGTTCCCTCCGCTCTTTCATGGTCGTTTGCTGACAGGCTCAGGGCAGTGAAAAACCTGAGTCACTCAACACGCACCTTCCCAGTTGAGGTCCTACAAGATGGTGAACAAGTATGTTTCCCCGTCTACTTAGTGCCATGTTTTTGGCATTTCTGTGCTTTTTCTGTTGGTGATTTTGCTGTACAAAATGCTGCACTTTCCCCGCTGCACTTAAGTGCTGTCTGCTGTTCATATGTACAAGAGGCTGGTGATGTGTCTTATGGAGAAAATACATGTATCAGATAAGCTTCAGTCAGGCATGAGTCATAGTGCTGTTGGCCATGAGTTCAATGTCAATGAATCAGCTATATATTAAAAGGGTGTCTCTAAACAGAAACACACATAAGACAGGGCTACATGTATTGGTGAGTTATGAAAATTTTGTGACCACAGGCTCACAGGAACTTAACTGTATTTCTTTTTTTTTTTTTTAAATATATTTTATTGATTTTTTACAGAGAGGAAGGGAGAGAGATAGAGAGTTAGAAACATTGATCAGCTGCCTCCTGCACATCTCCTACTGGGGATGTGCCCGCAACCAAGGTACATGCCCTTGACCGGAATCGAACCTGGGACCCTTCAGTCCGCAGGCCGACGCTCTATCCACTGAGCCAAACTGGCTTCGGCTGTATTTCTCTTAGTGTTCGCTAATTCAGTGTTCAAAGTGACTGAATAGAGTGACTATAAAGTTATTCCATAACTTCGTGCAGAGCTACCACGCACAGTGAGGGTTGACTGTAACGAAAAAAGGGAACAGTGGGGTACTGGGAACTGTGGGGACCTGAGACTGGGAAATGTTCCCTCTCGTCCAATAAACCTTCATGTTTGTGGCACGTATAGAACTTGATACATTCTTGTACGTATTCCCAAACACATGTTCTCATTGGACACCGTAGCGCTCTGGGATGGACAGGGAACGTCACTATCTACCTTGACAGATGAGGAAACTAAGGTCAAGGTCACGTGATGGGTTAGTGGTGGCCTAGGTCAGTGATGGCGAACCTATGACCACGCGTGTCAGAGGTGCCCCGCGAACTCATTTTTTGGTTGATTTTTCTTTGTTAAATGGCATTTAAATACATAAATAAATATCAAAAATATAAATCCATGTTTTACTATGGTTGCAAATATTAAAAATTTCTATATGTGACACGGCACCAGAGTTAAGTTAGGGTTTTTCAAAATGCTGACACGCGGAGCTCAAAAGGTTCGCCATCACTGGCCTAGGTGATCCAGCTCCATCCTCCATTCTGCTCTCAGGTACTCAGGTAATTCCGGAACAAGTTGTCCCCTGTCTATTAGTTCCCACTAAGGTCTAGTAAGACTTGCTAGTTACCAGGTCATCCTCCAATGCCAGCTGCTCTCTGGGGTAGTTTGATTTTCACTCCATGAACTGCCCATGCAAGGGCAGCTGGACAAGACAACTGCCTGGCACCACCAGAGTGTGCCCAGAACAGGCTCCAGGTGAGCATCCGCACCCTTTGGTAATAGGAGAGCGACCGTGCTCCAGGGCAGTGAGGAGGTTGAACAGAAGTGAGCTATCCCAGGCCTCATCCTTCCCACCCATTCACAAGTACCAAGTGGGTTGGTAGGTGTTTGGACCACATCCAGGAATAAGAAGGACCCATCTCTGACCTTGAATAGCTTTGAGTCCAGCTGGGAAGACAGACACATAAACAAATCGTTGCAATGTAGAGCAGTAGGTGAGATGCTAACAATGTAAGCGCAGAGCAGAGAGAGCATGGAGGCACAGTCATGTCTTGGGGGCAGGGGGGCTGGCGATCAGGGAAGTTTTCACAAGAGAAACTCTTACAATGGGCCTGGGAGGATGCAAGAAGCTTGCAAAGTGGGAGCAGGAGGAGAAGCCAGGGGGGCTTGTGGGGGTGAGGAAAGAGCCTTGGGTTTGGAGTGAGAGGCTTGGTTCCTGTCCCAGCTCTGCCACTGACCAGCTTTGTGATTTTGAGCAAGTCACATTACCTCCGTGAACCTCAGTGTCGCGGGAGTTGTCCTAACAGCTACCTTTGAAGGTGGTTGGGGACAGTCAAGTTAGACAGTGCTTTTGAAAGTACTTTGTAAACTGTAAGCCAAAAGAAGGTCAGTTCTTAGCTCCTGGGAATGTCTGGGGAAGGGATAAAGATATCCTAAGGCAGTGGTTCTCAACCTTCCTAATGCCGCGACCCTTTAACACAGTTCCTCATGTTGTGGTGACCCCCAACCATAAAATTATTTTCGTTGCTACTTCATAACTGTAATTTTGCTACTGTTATGAATCGTAATGTAAATATCTGATATGCAGGATGTATTTTCATTGTTACAAACTGAACATAATTAAAGCATAGTGATTAATCACAAAAACAATATGCAATTATATATGTGTTTTCCGATGGTCTTAGGCGACCCCTGTGAAAGGGTCGTTCGACCCCCAAAGGGGTCGCGACCCACAGGTTGAGAACCGCTGTCCTAAGGGAAGACAAGCCCTTATGCTGAGTTCAAGCTCATGGCCTCTGTCCCGGGAGGCCAGGAGGGTCCCGGTTTCTCCAATTCTGGAACCCATTTCTGAGACACAGGAGGGCGAGTCCGTACCCAGTGTACCTGCAGCTGTGATGGAAGACCTGCGGATCGTACGCTGTCTGAAGTCCGAGGCCTGCTGCACCTGGAAGGCCCTCAGATCCTCCTCATCCAGGGCGATGTCCCCGAGGAAGGCAGCTAGAGGGGAAAGAAGAGGCCAGGTGCTGAGTGAGTCCTCCTACCCAGCACTGACAGCCCCAAACCTGTGGGCACACCCCAGCCCCCACAGCAACTTTACTCCTAACCCTGAGGAAGGCGGGCAGTGGGGGCTGACCGGGATCTCTTGGGAGACTCATGCTTCCTTTTTAGTTGGGATCCCAGCAAAACTGATGCCCAGCCCCTAGAGACCTTTAGCTCCAGGAAGACACAGTTATGTCATTTATTCCATCGTTCTTGCGCAAATACTTAGTCAGTACCCACTGTGGGCCAAGCACCACTCCAGTGATTAGCAAGACAAATGAGGTCCCTGCTCCGGTGGAGCTGACCTTCAACAACACACAAGTAAACAAAGACTGAGTTTGAGAATTCCAGACGGTGGTGGGTGCTATGAAGGAAATAGAAGGTCAGATGATAGAGTGTCCACTTTATGGGCCCATAACCTTGGCAGTGTGCTGAGCATGTGGTAATCACTCCACAAATGCTGTGTCAATTATAATGAGGGGGAGATAGGAATAAAAAGTGGAAGAGACAGGAACTTTAGGAAAACCGGGACACGTGATGGGAGCTTCCCAGCCAGGAGGAAAAGGGTTAATAGTTCAAGTGACTTCCATTTAGTCTCAGGGTCCCCTCTCTGGAGGAAGAAAGTACTGGGGGGAAGGAGCTCCCAGTGTTTCTGGAGAGATGGGCTAAACAGTCTCTCCTTCTTGAGAAATTAGGAGCCAGAGGAAACAGGCCGCAGAGCTGAGCGCTCTGGAAGGAGCTCAGACGTAAGCTTCACGCAGGGCTGGGGTTAGGGGGGGCGGATGCAGGAGGCGGAGCGGAGGGCAGCTTCCCTACAGCTCCACCCTGGCAACATCTGCTTCTCATCCCAGTGCTACACAGGCCTGGTGGGCAGCATGACACAAGTTGTTTTAACCTTGAGGCCTTGCACACACACAGGTTCCTCCTCCTTAGATGGCCAGCTGGGTGGACACACACATACACACACACACACACACACACAGAATCAAGATACACGGGGTTCGTGCTCCTACAGACACAGGGTGACATCCACATTCATGCCATCAAACAGAGCTCCGCAAAGTCACAGGAACACCCCTGCACACAAGTCCAGTGCCCACACCTCCCTGAAAGGCGTGCGGCACTGGATAATGTTTGTCTGAGTGAAGCATCACGTTGCTATTCTTTGGGCCTGCAAACATGTGCTCACAGATACACACTCTTCTGTAGCTGACCGAGAGCTGGATCGGCAGAGTGTGGGAGTGACTTGAGCAGTTATCGAGGTCAGCTCTCCCTTTTACAGATGCAGAAACTGAGGCCCAGAAGGGAAATGATTTAGCTAAGACCATGCTGATAGACACTAGACAGGCAGGATTTATAGTTCAGGCCTCCTGGTTCCCAGTTCAGTGCTTACTGCACTCAAGGTCATTACTTTTGTAAAACCCCTATTGTAAATACATATACACAAAAACAGACACTCAAACACACACACACGACAAAAAAATACACACACGGTCACAGACAGTCCCAAAAAACACACATGCACAAGCTCCAGCACACACAAACCGACTCTAAGTTCTGAACTCATTAAGCCAGTAACAGTAGCGATAATGATGCCTGTATACTAGTAAATGTCTGTTGAAATTTATGTGGTGTTTTCCAGGTGACAAAGTACTTTCACAATAATGAATTCGTTTAATCCTGGCCCACCCAGTACATGCCCATTAAGCCATACTCCACCCATGCACTTGCCTAGGAGTGTCCATTACAAACTCACGGAGAGATAACCTCCCTGACTTCAGAGATCAGAATACTTGGGCCTAAGAGGGGAAATGACTTGTCCAAAGTCACCAGCCCATAAATGACCCAGGATCTCTTCCACCACATGGAAAAGATTCTCTTATTAAAAATGCTACCCCTGGCTCAGCAACTGATGGGACAGCAACAGAAGACACTTCTCAGCTGACATGCAAAGGTAGCCTTAGCAAGGATATGGGATGCGAGGTACATCCCAAGGGAGCAGTGGTGGGTTTCTACAGGCCAACCTTCACACAGGCCCTCACAGGCCACATGAACGGCCCCAGACACTGCACTTCCAGGCTCACGCACCCACAGCCATGGACATCACCACATACACGTGTGGCTGGACATTTAGACTCCTCTTTGGACATAGCCACAAAGAGCAAGGTCTTTGGAGTCAGGCAAATCTGTCTTTGAATCCCAACTTGGCTACTTCTGGCTGACAAGTCATATAGACTCTGCTAAACCTCAATTTTCTCTTATATTTAGAGGAGCTAATAAAAGAATCTATCTCCTAGGATTTATTGACATGAAAGAAGGCATGTAAATGAAGCACCTAGGACAAAGCCTGGAGCATAGCAAGCACTGTTAATGGACACTGTTAATATTACCCTGATAACAATCCCATAAGCTCCAGTTCAGCTCTCCACTTTCTGGGGGCACACGGGTTCACCCACAGGGGCCTCCTGGCTGAGTGAAGCCCGAGTGCTCAGAGCTGTGCTGGCCTGTGGGACAGGGGCAGTGAGGAGGCCAGTGGAAGGCTGGACAGGCCCTGGGCTGGCCACAGAGCTTGTCTGCATAGCCAGTGCCCTGGGGTGGGGATGTCATGACTGAAGAATGCGTGGGAACTGTGGGGGCGGGGAGAGATGAGGTGGGCAGGAGAGCCTGATGGCCAGGAGCTAGGCCTGAAGGCTCTGCCCATTTGGGATCCCCACTAGGGGACTCTAGGAAATCTGGATGCTGGGGAGTCCAGGACTCCCCTCCTCTTATGGAAAAAAGCCCTGGGGTCAAGGTCAGGACAGTAGTTGTTTTTAACATGGAATCGAAAGTTTTTGTTTTGTTTTGTTTCCTGGCTGTAAACCAGCCAGGAGCACTCATGGCTGCTCCATCACTAGGTCTCAGGAGTAGGAGAGAAAAGAAGAGAGCCCACTGGATCCCATGTACCCATCCTTCAGGTTGGCCTCTTGATTTTACACTCTCTTCCTCTGGGGTGTGGCAAGGCACCTCTTTAGGGGGGGATGGAGAGGAGCTGTCTGGTGAGATGAAACCCCAACACCGTGTGTACTGGGCATACACGGGTCCATCACACAACTGCAAGCTTCTATCTGGGACAAGGCATGTTCAAGCTCCCACAAATGTTCATACTTAATCACAAGTGTCCACTATGCACAGGGGCATATTTGCACACACATGCACTCAGAAGTACACACATGGATAGCTGAAGAGAAGACTTGCCCACCAAACAGGGGCACATCCACAAATGTGCAAAAACACACTCAACCACTTTCCGGTGTAAGCCCTAGTATTTTCCTGCATGCAAATAACTGTATGTGCATACCCCATTTCCTATGCCATGCCATCGAAGGAGAAGGGTACCTTTAGAAATAGTGAGTGTGGGAGGTAGATAGGTAATTAGTCGAATCCTCTGGATATCCTTAGGAGGTCCTTAGTGGCCCGAGGAATAACATATTCTACTCCTCCCTCTTCCCCCCAAATCTCTGGAGAAACCAGACTATTTGAGAGTTCCTTCCCCTGGGGAGTCCCATTGGTTCCCCTCCATCTGGAGCCCAGGGAGATTGTAAGTCTTTTCCACCTCCCTTGGGGCACGTAAAAGAGAAGGTGACTCAGGGGGCAGGGGCACAAGTGGGAAGGTGATTCATTCAGAGTGTCTGGAGGGGGAATGTGGTCTGGCAACAGAAGGGATTGCAGCATCCTGAGCTTGGAACCTATTCCTCTGAGGCTGGGCCACGAGGCTTCCGGGGTGAGGGTGGTGATGAGGGCTGGTGAGCTAATGGCTCACTTCACCTCCCAAAGCAGACCTCTGAGCTGCCAGGTGAGGCTGAAGTGAGGCCCTCGCTGGCTAGGGAGCAGTGCTATGGTCTTCCCTGCTTATGGGAGCAACTGGGTCCCAATTCCTGCCTCCAAGTCTCTCCCAGAGCCCTGCCAAGTCACCCGGGCAGCCACATGGAGCTGGGTGTCTCGGGGAAGGACCCCCTTGATGGTTTGGCAACCTAACATCGACGAAATCAGGACTTGCAATCTCCCTGGGCAAGAGTGAGTGAGCAAAGGGGGGGGCGGCAGTGCTCAATGGAACCAGCTCCCAGCACACACACAAAGACCAGCTCGGTGTCCTGCTTATTGCTCTGGTTTTGCCCAGAAGATCCAGAAACCTCTCCAGGGCATGAAGGGTCTTCATTTTGCCCTTACTGCCGAGTTGTGTCTGCAGTAAGGGCAAAGAGTGCTGTGTCTGACAGTAATAGCAAGAATGAAGCAGCCTCGCTATCCTGAGAGATCGCAGGTGAGCCGGAGAATCAATGGGGCTTTCATTCTTGGTCCTCTGTGCGCAAGGAGGAGGAGCAGGAAGAGGAGAGACCTGGAGAGGGTCCTGTGAGCAGGGGTAAGCAGGCACATCAGGTGCATCCAAAGGAAGGACAGGCATGCCTTGGAGATGTTGCAGGTTTAGTTCCAGACCACCGCAATAAAGTTAATACCACAATAAAGCGAGTCACACGAAAATTTTGCTTTCTCAGGGCATATAAAAGTTACAGTTACGCTATATTGTAGTCTATTAAGTGTGCAATAGCGTTGTGTCTAAAAATGTACATACCTTAATTAAAAATATTTTAATGCTAAAAAATGCTAACAATCATCTGAGTCTATTGGGAAAATGGCACTGACAGACTTGCTTGACGTAGGGTGTCACAAACTTGCAATTTGTTAAAAACACAATTATCTGCGAAGCACAATAAAATGAGGAATGCCTGTAGAGCCACCTCCAACCTGGAGGTCAGGGATCAGAGGGAGCAAGAGGCAGGGCCTGGCAGGAGAAACAGAGAAAAGAGCCTGGGGACCTGAGGGTTGAGGATGTGGGTGTGGGGTCTTAAGGATTCTGGGCGGAGGGAGGCAGGGCTACACCAGTCACACCCAGGAGGGAGGCCTGATCTGACCCTGATTCTTGGCCTTGTCAGGCTCTTGGGCGCTCTCAGCCACCCTCAGGTCTGGCCCAGCTCCCCACCAGCCTCACTTCACCCTGGTGTAGAGCTTTCTCCAGAACCCTTGTTTGAAGTTCCAAGTCAGCCAGCCCCACCCTAACATGAAATCTGAGACTAGGGATACAGCCCTCAGCCTCCTGCTGCTCTGAAAATCACTCCCAACTTCCAACTAGTAGTGAAATATGTCAGATTGACTTCCTACCCATTCTTTAAGGCCTTGCTCCAGCCTGCCTCCTCCATGAAGGCGCCCAAACCTTCCCAGCCTGCTCTGCTCCCCGTTTCTCCACCACCACCACCATACCCGGGCTGCAGGGGGGACGGAAGCTCCTTGAGCCTTGAGGGTCTTTCCCTCCAAGGTAGCACACACACCTCTTGGTTTGTGCTGTTGGTTACTTCCCCATGTATTGTCCCCTCCTGGACAGCAAGGTCCTTGAGGGCAGGGGCCATGCCTGACATTTCTCTGCGTCTCCCACAACTTCAAGCCCAGGGCCGGACACATACTAGTAAGTGACACAAAGACAGAGTTGGGGAGACACTCACTTTTCCTGAAAACCAAGCCAATCCGCTCCAAAAAAAAAAAAATGAAGTGAGAGCAAAAAAAAAAAAAAAAAATGAAGTGAGAGTGTGGGACACAGAAAACGGAGTAGACAGCCAACATTTATTTGGTGCTTATTTATTATTTATTTAGCGTGCGTTAAGCTCTAATAAGTGTTTTATATATATATGTTCTCATAGTTACCCCTTACCACCAACTCTGCAGAGAGGTGTACTGTCAGTTCCATTTTACAGGTGAGAAAAGTGAAGTTCACAGATGCTAATTAACATTCCCAAGGTGGTACATCTAATGAGTTGAGGATCCAGGATTGACAGCTAGGCCTGCCTGCCCACGCTCTGTCCACTTAGCCTCACGCCCACTGGAAGCCCAGGGAGAAAGATGACAGCTAACTCGGCAGTTTACCCACAGCCCAGCAGGGGTGGGGGATGAAGGGCAGAGGGATTCGGTTTCTCTGTGGGAAGAGGTTCCTATTCTGCAGTTTTCTGTGATCCATCCACCCAAAGATGGGTCCCCAGGGTCAGGACTCCAGCAACCTGCCCCCCTCCCACCCCTTGCGCCACACACAGGCACTCCTAGAAGTCCAGGAGCTGTGCCACTCACTGCCTCTGGCTCTGGCTCTTTGGAGAAAGGCTGAAGTCAGAGGCAGGAAGTCAAGGAAAGGTTCTGATATCTTATGCCCTGTGTGTTCTCTTGTCCCAAGCAGCCTATTCAGGGTCATCGGATCAGGCAAAGAGCCGGAGTGCCTGGCCATCTGGTCACTGCTGGGCAGGACCTCTCTGGGCCTAGCAGGAGTGAAGAGGTTACACAGTCTTCATGGACAAAGAACACACACACACACACACACACACACACACACACTCCGGGCCCTGACCTCAGCTAATAGCTCTCCAGTGTCTATGGCCAGAGAGAGCGGATATGCAGCGTCTGAGTTCTCTGTGTTTCCCCCCAGCTGGGCCTTGGGGAGCGCCTGGCACACAGGGGCAGAGGTAGGTCCCCTCCTGCACTGGCTTCTCTGACTTTGACAGCTGTCTCCTCCGCCCCAGGACGGCTGCTGTGCTGGTGGGGACCCCCGAGACACCCAGGGACCATGATCTCAGAGGATCCCTGGAAAAGCCTTCTCCCACTTGTGCCGGGTGGGGGCCTCAGGAGACCTGCTCCTGGGAGATGCGGGTCACCCCAAACCGGGAACCCGGAGACAGATGTGCATTCCCAGGGCAGCCCAGGCAGACAGGCTGGAAAACATCAGTGTCCTAGAGCCAGAGGCTAGGGAGAAGTCTCTCTCTCTCTCCTCTCTCTCTCTCTCTCTCTCTCTCTCTCTCGTTTGGCCAGAAAAGTTTCCTGCGGGAGGAAAAGCCTCCTTGGCTGCAGGTTTCTCTCAGGACCCAGGGAGCTTGCCCCCAGGAATCCTCTAGGAAGACAAGAGGCATCGGCTTCCACCAACGGCCCAAAAGTTCAGTCTTAAAAGTCCCCCAAACTTCCCCTCCCTCTCTCCCTCCTTCTTTTGTTCCCCACAGCATTGCCAACCAGGCAGCTCCAGCATTCCCACACCGGACCGTCCTCCCCCCACCCGAACCCCGGCAGCTCGCGCCTCCCGGCCCGGCCGGCCCCCGCCGGCCCTCGCGCCCCGCAGGCCGCAGGAGGAGGGACGCCTACCCGCCTTGCAGGGGTCTTTGTAGTTCAGGGGCTCCGCGTCGTCCTCCTCGCCCAGGTCATAGGTGTAGTCGGCCAAGTCCAGCGGGCGGCCGGGGCGCGGGAGCAGCAGCAGCCCGAGCAGCAGCGGCAGCGGCAGGCGGGCCACGCCGGGCATGCTGGCGGCGG